TGGTTTTATTTTTTGAGCTTTTGGCATTTTTTATTCTTGTATCCACACGAGTTGCACTTTCTAACGGTTTTATTTTTCTTTTTGTAATTGATTTTATAACTACTTTACGTGGTTTTGTTTTAGATTTTACAGTTTTTTTTTAGTTGAAGCCACTTTGTTTATATGTATCGATGAAAAGAATTATGATTTGTAATATTTCACGGATCAAGTTACCGGTTTGTGTAACGATATATGACAAATCAAAAAATTTAACATGTAAGATAACTATTGTGTATATGACTATTACCAAGAGAAGAATTTGTAGATAAGAAATTGTCAAATCGAGTTTTAATCTTTTTCTATTGTATCGTTCGCAAAAATCCAATTCTTGTTCCATTTATTTTTGCTTTTTAAAAGGGAACTCGATATTTATATATTTTCGACAAAACCCGATCCATTTTTTGGATTTTCAGAACTGGTCTTCCACATTTTAGCGATGATTTTCATAGCTTCAGAATTCGATTCACATGTTTCTTTTATATTTTGAAAGTTATCCTGAACGAAAAGTTGATATTTGGTCTGTTTTTTTTTAACCACCGATCCATCATCATCTTTTGTTTTTTTCTTTTTCTTTGTTTTTTTATTATCATCATTATAATGTATATCAGCTAATTTTTCGATGTTTGTTAGGTTGGTTATTACATAGTCAGGATCGTAGTTTGTCATTTGTTCTATCAGATCTTTTTTATCAACCGATTTTCTTATGAGTTGTTTAAGCTTTGTATTAGGAAATTTACCCATTTTGTTAATTTTTATATAAAGAGAGTATCCACTATTTATATATTTTTATTATGAAACGAAATAATTTTTTTTCTGATTTTGACGAAATTATCAAATCGATGGCAAATGAACCGAGTCTTGTTGATTTACTTAAGGGTTTGAAAAAAACGCGTCAAGAACTGATCAAAGAATTCGATGAGATAATCGAAGAAAAAAATAATACTATCGATACATTTATTAAAGCGAATAAATTTTTGTCGAATGAAGCGTATTATTACAGAACCCATTGGTTTACAAAATTGTATGATGAAATGTCCGATTAGCTCAAAGATTTGGTTACAGATATGTATGATAAGACATCGTTATCATTTCCTTTTCCTTTAGACAAAATCATGAAGAACAAGATGATAAAGAAAATTATATTTGATTTAGTATTTAAAAAAGTTTCGTTAAAAACTACAGTTGAAATAATAGGATTTCTAGAATTTTCGTTAACTTATCGTTCCGTTAGACTTGTCGAAATTTACATTTACAATTTTATATTTTTAATTTTTGTGATCCATTATATGAATTACATATTCAAGATAGATATAGTTTGTTACTTAGTTTAAAAGAAATTTATTTAAAGTATAAATATAAAATAAAAACAACTATTTAAAATAAATTATTCTTTTTTATATCCATGTTGTCATTAGTATCTTCATCATCATATTCACTATCATTTAAATCTAAACCTGTGACACTGTTAATCGCATCATTTAATCTTTTGTTTTCTTTTTTCTCACGTTTTTTACATTCGGTTTCTAAGATTTCACTAGTTTTTCTAAAGTTATGAATACTATATTTTTTTTGAGAATTAATCGAGTAAATTTTTGTTTTTTTTGTTGTTTTTCTTTTTTTACAGGATCATAATAAATGATATATTTCATTGGGTGTGTGATCAAAAAACAATTAGTTCCAGGAAACGGATATTTTCTTTGTTTCTTTTGTAAGTTACATCGATGCAGATAATACCATCCAGAATATTGTCTTCTTTATCTTGATCGTTTAGAAAAAATAATCTTACGCAATTATCTTCCCCATTGATAGTTTCAATTTTAATTTTGAAGGGTAAATTTTCAAATTCTTGAACGTCGTTATTGTAAATTAATTCACCATCATTATTTTTTTTTCCAATGTTAATAGCACCAGCTAAAGACATATTTGTTTCTTTGTAGTAGATTTTTTTAACAGAGTTTTTTTTTTTTGATTTTATTTTCATTTTTTTTAGCGAGATTTTTATATTTGTCTTACATTTTATAGTTTAACTAAATAAAGAAATTCATATTACCATAATTAAAATCAATCGGAGTTATTAATTTTTATTCCGGGTTTAAAATATCCCAAAAAATACTTCTAAAATACATAAGCGTGTACCAGAATCCAACATTATAATAAACATAAAAAATTATTATCCATATTATTGTCTTATAAGTATTTTCATAACCCATTTCATAAAGATAAATTAGATATCCATAAATCATCAATATCAAAATTAATGTGACAATAACCAGGAAAATATTTTCATAACATTGTTCATACAACCAAATGATTAATTTATAATAAGCATGCCAATGATAATAGATGTCGGAGAATTGTAGTATATGAAATATAAGCTACGTAATAATCAAACAAAATTAATTAGTAAAGTTGATTTTAAACAACTAAGATTTTATGTACTTACGTTAATCATTTTATTTGGGGTTATTAAACAAAAATAAAAAAAACAAATCAGTCTTTTTATAGTTTTAACAATTTATTTATCTTGTTATATCAATAATTATATATAAATAGAATTGATGTGTCTGATTTAACAATCAAAAAGAAAAAAAAACTAAGGTACGCTTTATTTTTTATTTTTTATTTTTTTTTATTTACATTTTATTACATTATTAAATATATATTTTTTTATTTATTAGATGAATAAGAACAAGATTTTAATTATTTTTTTATTTTTTGTTTTTCTA